TACCTGAAGTAGACTATTTTCGTTCTGATTTCAGAACTGCTTGTTTCTTTGTCATGCTCGAATGAGTTTTCGTCACATGACATAAAGGCGTTTCCGGTTCCGCTTTTTTTTAAAAAACCGGCTACTGGAACCAAAAATCTAAAATTTAAGGCGGTAAAATCGTGCGATTTCGAAATGGATCTAGTAAAGTGGCAATTGAACTTCGTGTCGTGCAATTTTGGTCTGAAATCATACTTGTGATTTCAAATCGAACTCGCGCTGCGTGCTCGTTCGATTTTGAAATCACTCGTATGATTTCAGACCAAATTGCACTCCACTCAGTTCAGTTACCATTATTAATTGGACAGTGTACGCGTCATGCTTGTAATTGGACAGTACGCGTCATTTTGCGTGCGCTTTTGCGGTGCACTTTGTTGAGTAAATTAAACTGCTATGATTTTCAGCATTCATAACGACTTTTAATCGTTCAGCGCTCAATCGATGGTTTGTTTGTTTCGAATTTTGTCATAGTTTTGATTAATTGGTAACAGGACATCGTGTCGTCCAATTCAGTCTGTTTTTTTTTTTTTCTTTTTTTTTTTTTAAATCGGACTCCCGCTTCGCGGTCGTCCGATTTTGTTAATCACTCGTATGATTACAGACCGAATTGGACTCCACTCAGTCCTATTACCATTATTAACAGACCAGTGGGGGTTGAATACCTTGCATGAGAGCGCGCGCTAATTAGGCAGACGTAAATTACAAATGATAGTACACACCCAGGATATAAAACAAACTAGGATAACAATGTTGTGGTGTTGTCCACACATGGCAAGGTGTGATGATTCGTTTAATTTTCTTCTGTTTTTCTAGGGGAAAACTACGAGATACAATACTTGACTGGGAGGATTCGTTGCCTTACAAAGACCTCGTGACAGCGGAACATCATTCGAGGTAAACGAACGGCTGGTTACTAAGTGGCACCAAATATAAAAACAAGCTGAATAGAAAGATCCTATAGAGCAAAATAGAAGAAGCTTTAAGAAAGTTTAACATATATCACGAGCGGACATTTTGCTCATTGGGTGTGTTTTTCTGTGCATGTTATATGTTAAACCAGCGATTAACTAAGGTGTATGCCATAGAAAATGCAGCCAATCAGAATACAGGGAAGCCGTTTTGTATACTCGACGGTATCACACCCAACCTTTCCAGCGTGGCGTGGTATAAAATAGTTACACTTTCTTAGAATATCCCTCTTGTCGCTTGTATTTTCTTGGTATAAACACTCACTTAAACGAGAAATACAAGTGACTAGTGGGATTGTTGTATAACAAGACTGCATTGTACTTTTTAACAAATAAAGAAACCTCGACTGTGCTCTGTTCTGTTGTAAAGCACGCAGGAAGCGGTAGAGCACTCAAGAAGTAGAGAAAAACACTCGACGTAGTCGAGTGTTTTCCCCTACACTTCTTTTGTGCTCTACCGCTTCCTGCGTGCTTTACAACAGAACAGAGCACAGTCGAGGTTTCTTTATTTGTTTTATGATAAAGAATCCAATAATTTCCCCACGCATTCGGCTAAATTTTCAAACCAAACTTTATTTTCCAAACGAGTAAAAGTGGCGTTAGCCGTGCTCAGTTCTCTGATTAATTAAGCACGCTAAAATAAGCCCATCACAATCCTTGTTAGACTTGTTCAAATAATTTGATTGGCTAACGAAGCGACAGCTGTCAATCACAAACTGGACTTCAGCTAAGCTTTCAGTTTCGAGTAGTTTCGAGCGGCTTTCGAGAGAAGAACGATGCCTTCAAAGTTCGCTTTTTAGTTAATTTTTAAATAAGGATCTAAAGGCAGGTAAAGGTTTGTAGTCCAGAGGAATCCGGCCGTATTGTGGCTCATCAAAACGTGCACTTTTCCAATGGAAATTACGAAACAAGGAACTCAAAGCTTGCGGATGAAAATGCGAAATGCTGAGTTGAATTTGAAAGGAGCTACAGGTATTTACGGCTTGTAGCCGCTTGCTATAAAGTGGTTTTTATATCAAAATTAACTTACCAGTTTTCCTCTTTCTTTGTACAAAACTTTGTACAAAGAACGTCAACTTTGTGAAAACAACGACTACACTTTGCAGAAACAACGCAACTTTGGGCAAAGATCGTCGACAACTTTGTACGAATAATGTTCACACTTTGTACGAACGTCAACTTTGTACGAACAACATCGAGTTTCAACGAACAACGTCAACTTTGTAAGAACAACGTCCACACTTGTCCGAACAGCGCCGAATCCACTATGAGGAAACGAGAAATTATCGATTGACTTGCGGGAAGACATGGTTGTGCCTAGAAGGACAACCGAGGAGTACTAGGAGCGAGTTTCGGAATCGAGCAGCTTTCGAAAATTTTCGGCTCTTCCAATATGGTGGACTATACCAGTCACATATAAATTGATCTTAATTTGCGAATTGCCAGTGGTAACACTATCATAATGTTGATCAACAGGGCAAGTACGTTTTTATTTACCTGACATGTTAGGAATAATGTGAATAATGAGAGTAAAAATCGAGAGTAAAGCCGTGAATGCTGTGTATTTCTTTAGGTCTCTTCCCGTCTAGTTCGTAAGCCGTAATTTGTACGCTAACACTGTAGACGTCTTTGACTTAAGCTCAAGAGTTTTTAAATACGTCTTTCCTTGAGAACGATTTTTTTGACTGAGCTCTTGATTCGGTGGATCTCCGAATTCAAACTTCCTTTGCCTTGTCCCTCTGGCCAGTAGGATATTGTTTCCAGCACTTAGATTTTGATGGGTCGTTTATAACCACCTTTATCATTTGATGCTACAATCATGGTATCAAAAAACCGCCCAGTCATTGGTGAACACGTTGTTATCATTTTCGTGACACAATAGGTTACCATAGCGACAGTATGACCTTCTAAAAACACCCTTAATTACAGCTTTAGGGGCTTTTAATTGAAAAACGGCATAGTGATTTTTTTTTACATTATCAACTTTTGATAAGCATGAAAAGACGCAACTTTTGGCAAAGTTTAAAAAAATTCTGTAGGTAGGTTTAGAGCCACCTTAAATTTTCGAAAATATAAGGTGGCTCTGTCCTGTTTGCAATATTTGCCAATACATTTCTGTGGTTGAATCAGCAGAGTTCTACATTTAACGACGCTTTTAGGTTGAGAAAGTAAAATTGGCGATGTACTTACTTCTTTTTATGTGACGCGTGATTGGGGGAAAAAATTATCCAAAGTGCGAACATTATTCGTACAAAGTTGTCGACGTTCTTTGCCCAAAGTTGACGTTGTTTTTGCAAAGTGTAGTCGTTGTTTTCACAAAGTTGACGTTCTTTGCACAAAGTTTTGTACAAAAAAAAAATTGGCAAGTTAATTTTGATATAAAAACCGCTTCATAGCTTGCAGCCGCCTCCAGCGAGATTGCCCGAACTAGCGTAAAAGTTAGAAAGACTAAACTGCTCCCACTGGCTCTACTCCGAGCACAGAAGAGAATATCAGAGCAAGCTTTGAACTGACCACTCGTCGGTTCACTTCGACACTGCATGTAAGTGTTGTTTGAGCAATTGAAGCCTTCGGCTTCGGCTGACAACCCCTACCTTGATTATTCTGAATATCACAAAAACCTCATCCAATAATTGTTTAGAATTTGTTTATTTCGCTACGTGTTTTGTCGGCGGGAATCTAGCAAAACTTGTTATTTTAGTACAGTTTTATTGCTAACAATGGTCTCCGTGAGCCATATTTACTACAGACAAATAGTTCGTTTCCATTGAGTTTGTCCGAGTCACAGGGGTTGTTTAATTTGGGTCAAATTTGTCAAAATTCCGAAGCAAAAATTTGAAAGCCAGTTTGCCGTCATCAACCCGTGCTCTGTTCTCTGACAAAGCACGCAGTTTCAGCCAATCAGAACGCGCGTTATATGGAAACGTTATTATAAAAGTGTATAGTGGCGTGTAGTGTTGTATACGGATGTGTTTTGATGTTTAGGGAGGTATAGGGGTGTATAGCGAGGTTCGTGTAGTGATGTTAAAACATAACGAATAGAGTTTAAATGGAATACGATTATTATTTTCACAAATTTCTGTGAATGATATTTTTCATGGCAAGGAAAGGTTTTACTGTTATTACACTATTTTCTCATAAATTTTCAAACCCTCTCTTTCAGGCAAGCTGACTTAGCAGTGTGCCTTGGAACCTCACTCCAAATCCAACCTAGTGGCAATTTACCAGTATTCACAGTCAAAAATGGTGGAAAGTTGGTTGTTGTCAATCTTCAAAAAACAAGACATGTAAGTAACTTCTGTGTTCATGTCGTGTTATTATGGCTATTGAAGCCCTCAGAGCAATTAGCCAATCAGAAAAACTGAAATGAACAACAAACAATAAAACGACTCTATTTAAAGACAGGGCCAGAAGTGAAAAGCGGATCCATGTGTTGCTTAGTTGGTGAAAGCTCATTGTCCGACCCTGTTGTTACCCCTTAGGATAAGAAAGCAAGCTTGATTATCAACCATTATGTTGATAGAGTAATGGAAGAACTTATGAACCGTCTGGGATTGTCAATTCCGCCAGTCACTGGAGCACCATGGTGGAATACCTCTTACACTGACAACAAGGCAGAGACTCTAGTAAAGGAGGAAGTCGATGAACGTGACGCAAAACACCAGGTCGACTATGGACCCTCTCTGGACTATCCAGTGACTAAGAGGCAAAAACGAAACTGTGAAGAAGACCAGGATGATGATGACGATAACAAATTATAAACAGTTCCAATATCACATTGATCATCATCTTTTCAGTAATCCATGTTGTGGAGCCACGTTGATGAAAGCAGACTCAACGCTAACTAAGGATCATTTTTACTTTTGAACACAAATGTGTTCAAAATAAGAATTAGTGCAATTCTTTAATAATAATAATACTTTATTCAAATACAGGGTACAAAGAGTATTTGGAAAGGAGGACCATGAGGTTATCCCTATTTAGGTCCCCTAACTAAAATTACAATCTAAAATTTAAAATTTTAAATACCTTATCTTCAAATACCTTAGTGCAACAAGTAGAAGTGAGTGACATTTTAGGCAAGAGAAGTAAATCCGTACCAGATCTTTCAATCAACCAGGGCGTAGATATTATTTCTTTAGGCTGTTGCAGTGTTTCCGCCAGAGCGCGCCATTGCAGGAATCCCGCGTTGCAATCAGAGATGACCTCCAGAAAAACGAAAAAAGGGCCAATTTGGCCCTTTTGTTTTACAAGACTGCAGGCTTAACACAGGCATAATATTTCAAAAGTCATCCCAGGACTCGGAATTGGGATCGATACGGTCGCCAATGCAACTAACATTTCATCCTTGGCGACCAAAAATTCTGGGTTAGTCGCCATAATACGGCATAATGGTGACTACATTTCTCTGTGTTGACGATCAGTAACGGTTATTTTGTCACACATGTCCTTCTAGAAAATCATATTGAAAGACCTTTGCTTCTAAAACATTCAACGTAAGAAAAGAAGTCAATCCGTCCTTTTGCTTTGCTGTATTGATTCTTCTCACATCGGAAAACTTCCAAATGGCTGACCGTGTTTGAAATCGCCCTATAATGCATTGCAAACCCTTGATCATTGACTGCGTCAT